AGACAAATTGGGCTGTATTGTAACACAGAATCATTTAATATATGAACATCTGGCTTGTTCTTTATTTAACACTAAAATGGCCTTCCCATGAGTGTAATGCTTGCAACAACTAGCTCATGCTGCTTTATACCCAGATTAACCCTGGACAAAAAACTGCATTTCGTTCTTGTTTATGCCAATGGTAAAGGTACAGAAATTCAACTTTTTAAACTTCAGTGTCTATATATGGAACGTCAAGGACTCTGTGATGTTTCTTATTAGTATAGTTATGATGACTACAGAGTACAGCAGGCTTTTAGCAGTGGGCATGCATCAGTGTGGCAAAGGGATGGATAAACATTCCAGTCCAGATGTCCTGGCGCTGCATGGTGATGCTCCAGCATTAGGGGCACAAATAATGCATGCACGTCTACTATACCTAAGGTGGGTGCACTTGCACTTCGACTGCGATCTTCAATGCATCCAAATAACGCACAAACCACACGCAGCACAAGGGGGAGGAACATACCCAGGACAACAAAATAAAACATATGAAAACTTAACACTGATAAGACAAGAGGAGAACAATACCAAGAAAGATGCATGCATAACACAGAGAGGTTACATACAAATGGACCATATAGGAATGACCTAACATGGAGTTGCTCACACGAAATAATTAAGACTGAGCTTTTGGGTCTACATAAACAGGAAAGTAAAACACACACTTACTTTTGTTCTACCTAGCACTGACAGATTGACACTACATATGCTCAGAAGGCTTTCAATACCTTAGAAATACTGAGAATAGTCCTAGGGACAGGATTAGGGACAAGAATACAGTGGCATACAGAACACCATCCAATAGGAGAGGTGAATAGTAGTTGTGCATTTTTGGACCAAAAAAAGTCAACATGCTTGACCTTTCTGTGCAGTCTTCACAAAACAATGTGTTTTTTTTAATGTTGAACCATTTCCAGTTTCTTCACAAATTACAAGCCACCCTCCACATATGAAATTAAGGTCTGTTATAAAAATGTATAGCTTTCAGCTAAGTGTATTTTGTAAAGAGAAAGACCTATGTCCCCAACAAAACTGCAAGAGACGTTTTTGGTGCTACAAATCCCAAATCCAGTGAGCCATGCAAGAAAAACCCCTTTTGTCAAACCCAAATACATATTCCTCTTTATGTTGTCTACTTTTGTCATGTCTTTATCCAAAACCATGTATTGTAATCCCCATAATTTCCAGCTATCTAAATTGTTTTCTTATGGTTTATGACACACAGTACTAGTATGTTTATGTATGTGTGTGTCATGGGACCGCAACTCCCATCATTCCTCCTCAGACAATGATTAAAAATGTTGGGAGCTGCAATCCAACAAAATAGATACATGTTACAATTTTGTATCACTCGCACAGCTTATCTTTACCACTACCACCCAAAGGAGTAACATCAAGCTTGTAAATAGCCTTTGGGTTGATAGTTACAGTAAGAACTGTATATGTATATTAGTGAGTTTAATAGCTATTTTAAACAGCATTATTTATAACAAGTTTTTCAACTGTTCATACACTTAAAATCTCCACAGAACCTGAGATTGTGGGAAAAACCTAGGCAAATCAACAAGGACCTGTTTCTTTAACAGTGTGAGCACAACTTCTATATTATAGAAGCAAGGATAAAACAGAAGGGACATGGTAATCTAGAACCATGCTGGGGAAAAAGAGCAAAGTGAGGGAATCGAGGCAGTGCCCTCACGAAGGTCAGTCCACTGTGCATCACTTTTTCTCACACACAAAAATAAAGATATTATACTCTGGACCTGGAGAACCTTTCATTTTCTTCTGCCACCCTCAGAACATTGTTTGGTCTGAGAAAGAAAACATTTGAGGCAGTAGTTAGGCTCCTAACTAGTCTAAAAGGCTACTGATTTTATGGTTTAAGGGTAGACTGACTTTGTAAAAGAGAGGGAAAACTGAATCTCTGACTTGTGGTTATTTCAGTCCAATATACCTAAAGGATGTCATATGGTCTAACACAACACTGGAAAACTCTTGTGGGGTTGAGGGTCAGATTTTAATACCCAGCACTCTACTTCTAGTTATGACTTTGTTTTGTTTGGGGGCATGCACAAATTAATGCTCCTGGATGCCCCCAATTATGGTTGGGGGGGACAGTTTTGGCACAACCCTCCCCTTTTTTTCCCCATTGGGGGACCTAGCAGGTGCCATAGAGCAGTGGTCCCCAACCTTGGGCCTCCAGATGTTCTTGGACTACAACTACCAGAAACCTTCACCACAACCTCTGCTGGGACAGTTTTGGCACAATCCTCCCCTTTTTCCCCCCATTGGGGGTCCTAGCGGGTTCCATAGAGGCTTGGAGGGCCCTCGTGTTCACTTTTCCCAACCTAGTCTGAAGCCAAAACCCTGCTACGTGATCCACTGTTCCAGTTTTGCAGTGAAAATGTTGCATGGCTCACACATCGCATTTCAATGTACACACTAACACACATGCCTTGCATTACGACACAAAATTCTAGTTGAAATGTGTATTGAAATTAATATGCAGATTCACAAGTGGTTAACAAAACACAAAGCACACATTAATTGCACTTCCTTTTGTGAAAGCACCAGAATCCAATACATATTTTTTTAATCCATGAAAGTGTTTTGTTTTCCCACACGCCTGCTTCAGTCTGTTGCTTTTTTTCCAAATAAAACTGTTGACATTTTATCGGACAGGATATTTCCTATTGCTTCTCGCTTCTGATAGCTAAAGTGAAAAGGTTACACGTTAGCCTTTATTGAACCTACCTAAATTAGGTGCACTTGCTGTTCTTTTGTTACTTTTGATCTTGAAAAAGCCTCGTCCAAATGATGATCTGGCTTTACGCGTTCCAAAGGCATCTTCTTCACCAGGAGATTTAGGAGGAAGGGTTCCATATTTACTAGAATCCTGGGATAGTTTGCTCTGATGGGTGGGGAGAAAAAAAGTTTAAAGTGCAATATTGCCATACTGTGAATTAAAAAAAAGTAGGGGGGAAGGAAACTTTAAAATATTGGCCAGAATCCTATTAGTTAGTTGTGCTGGCATACATGCAATAAACCACAGCATAAATCACAGCAACAAACTGTTGCTAGTTAATGAGCTGCCACTTGTGTTCCTCATCACACACCAAAGGTGGTGACTTAATTCAAGATGAGGAATACAAAGAGTGATTCTTCTACTAGCAACAATTCACCACCGAAATTCATGCTGCTGCACTTCTGGTTGTGTAACTAAAAAAATAAGATTCTTTAGAATTAGAATCCAGGTGTCCGTACACTATGTTACAAAATAAATTAAGACATACACAGTACAGTGGTGCCTCGCTTAACAGGCGGCCCGTTTAACGACGAATCTGCATAGCGATGAAGATTCTGCGATCACTTTTGCGATCGCATTGCTATGTTCCTTATTTGCGATGATCACGGGGAAGCAATCATCGCAAAGGCCCCATTTTCTCCCAGCTGATTGGCGGGGCTTTGGGATGATCGCGAGGAAGCGCTTTCCCCCATCATCCCGAAGTCCCGCCGATCAGCTTAACTAGTAAGCCAAAAAATGGTTGAGATTCTAAGGTCTCCTGGACTCCATATGCAACTGATTCAGTAACAGACAATACAGAGATATATTCTCTAGAGATCAAGGCGACATTTGTTTGTTCAGTGTATTAATATGAACTGACTAAATTTTTAATGTTAAAAATGTTTTTAATGTTAAAAAAATGTTTAAAATGTGCACAAAATAATGCAGGAACACAATAGACTAAGTGTCTGCATTGAAAAAAAAACCCCGGAATACTAGAGAAAGCAAAAGAGAAAGATTTATTTATTCCAAGTTACCTCCTCTTGCTTTTGTCCAGAGTCTTTGCCCTGTTTGGAAATAATTCAAAGCAGAAAATTTTCAAATAAATGTATGTTCCATTTAACTGATATTCAACTAACTGCTTATAAAACCTGTTTAGGTCAAGTTATTTTAGACATTTGATCAGGTAAAATATTCAAATGAGCATGCAGGATAGTCTATATTAGCATTTTCCAGAGACTGAATACACCTTTCCAGAGACTGAATACACCTTTTAAGAAAAGAAAGAAAAAGTAATATAAAACAAAATTACCAGGTAGAGTAAAACAATATGGGTGGATAAGAGCCGTATGGGCAAGCATTATTTCTGCACAAGAGCATAGCAATGATCTTGTGCTGGAAGAACAAATCAATATTCGCAAATGAAGGCCATTCTAAAAATGGGGGCAGCCCAAACAAAAATTATAACTTTGACACTGGACTGAATTCTGAGCCACACCAAATTTGGCACAGTAACAGCAAACAGTCTGCATCAAATTTGGGGAAGTCTGGGCAAAGGATTTTTGAGTTACGATGTTTTTTAAAATCCTGTTTGCACCATTCAGAAATAGTTGACCCTAAATGTCCCTAGACTTAAAATAAGTCATATATATTGAAAAGACTAATTGTTTCATGAATATGGGACTAGTGCTTCTAGTCCCATATTCAAAATGACAGGAAATGGCCCAATACTGCTGGACAATAGCATGCTTGCGTTGCCAGCAGGAAAAAAGACGTTAAGCTTTACATTGCAAAGGGCAGTCCAAATATTAACCATACCAATGGCAGTAGTTTAGATGATCTACAGCAGTGGTTCACAAAAGCGGGACCCCAGCAATGTTCACTCTAAGCTGCGTGGCTGCACTGCCTTGCATTGGCCCATGCACCTGAAGACAGTGTTGATGCCCATTTTGTTCCAGTCACAACCAGAACTTTGTGAACGGGGGGGGGGGCAACGTCCACTGGTGGAAAACGGAATATAATTAAAGAGCAACACATTCAATTTTCCACCAGCACCGAGTGGAAACCCTGCCTTCTCCCCGTGCATGGGGTTCCAGTTGCGACCAGAACCAAATGGGTGGTAACACTGGCTGTAGGTGCATGGGACCGATGCAGGGCTGCAGGGCTGCACACTCATGCAGCTTAGGAAGAACGTTGGCTCCCAGATGTTCTTGGACTAAAACTCCCAAAAATCCTGGTCAGCACAGCTATTTCCTGGCATTTTGAATCATGGATACAAAAGCACAATATCCCACATTTATAAAACCGAGGGTTTTTTAGAACTGAATTTTTAAATAAAATAGTCAACAAAAGAAATAAAACTACCCACATCAGAAGACTCTTTCTTCAAGTTTCCCAGGCTGCTGGATTTCTGCAGGGCTGAAGTTCTAGAAATGACCACAGAAGAGAAGTGGGGAAGGAAAAGAAATCATAAATGAATCTTCACTCTTAAGACATATTCTTTTGATTATAATACATGCTAAAACATGTTTGGACAGATGAAGGGAAAGAAATGCTGAGTTAAACCAATTTTCTGATATTTTATTGTCTTCCCTCCACTCCAGGAATGAGCACCATGGGATGGTGTCTATTTCAGAAGGAACAGCAGTTGAGTCTTGGACAGATGACTGAGCTCTAAGCCAGGAAATGCTCTTAATTAGAAAAAATGCCCAAGTTCCAAACTCATTTCTGCTACACGTGCAGCAGATATCAATGACTGTTTTTTAAATTTCCAGTACAGTATAAACAGCATAGGGCCAGAAGCAGATTTTGAAGAGAATTAAAGAGTTTTCCTTCAAACACAAGTTGCGTCCTCGAAAATTTGACAAGCATGGGGAAATGTTAAGAAACCCTAACTTTCAGTGATTAAAGATCATTCATACATACATGCATGCATGCATGCATACATACATACATACATACATACATACAGAGAGAGAGAGAGAGACGCATACATGCACGCATGCATACATACATACATACACAGAGAGAGAGAGAGAGAGAGAGAGAGAGAGAGAGAGTCAGATCAAAAATGCTATGGAAAGATTCTCTGGATTACTGGATTTTGGCTTATCACTGAGAAACTCCTTCAGAATCCTGGATTTCAGCAATAATTAGGTACTGAACTGCTCTCACTTGGCTCCATCTGGAGGCAGGAGCAGTTAACCTAGCCTTATGTACAAACTTGGAATCCTAGAATGCTAGAATCTGCAGTTGGCTTATACATCCTGGCTTCTTTCAGGACTGAAGCAGGAAGTTTGGGTCTCATGCAAGGGTAATCTCACCTCTGAATTTGGGGCTGGGGACCACCCACCCCGAGTGCTAGTCACAAGGTGAATATGAGTCAAAGTTTCCATATAATACTAAGCTTTTTCACTCTATTATGATCCTGGTTAATGTAGTGATTTCCACCTACAAAAGAAACCAAACTAAACAATTCTGAAGAATGTCATCTCAGCACATTGTGAAACATGCATAGTACCACCCTAACAGTGATCTTATAGGACTGTTTTAAGAATTTTGAGGATAATTACATGAAGTATTCTAAACACTCAGAAGTACAATGAAAATTAATATTATAGTCAAGATGGCAATACAGATAAACATGAATATCAACTCTGAAATTCTTCCCTTCTTCAAGCTACAGTACATGCTTGTAATTACATATCGAAAACGTCAAGCTGCAAGCCATATCTTAATGACTTAAACCGAAGGCATGCTGTGGCAGTAACTCTTTAATGTTTCAGCAGTGCAGACAATAAACATGCTTTTATTGTTCTGCATTTAATTTATGGTAACATTTTAGAACTGGTACCTTACTAAGCCTAAGAAAGAGTAGTTCAAAAAGCACATGACTGCCTCACTGATTACTGAGGTAGAGAAAAACAGCTACCTCATTAAAAAGTAGAATGCACATTCTTTAAAAGCTACAAAAATGATCCATTTATCTAACATAAATGGTTTCAGTTTCTCCTATGCTGTGTCATTCTTGTGCAATCTAAGTTTTTTTAGGCTGCAATCCTAGCAAACTCACAGAGAAGTAAGTGCCACAGATCAGAGCGGAGCTTATTTCTGCATACATCTGTAGATGAGTACGCTTTCATTACTCCTTAAGTTATCAATCTACACCTAAGCCAATCACTACTGACTACCAATGCTGCTTGAAACTCAATATATTTAGCAAATCTAAACCACTTCATACTCTGTGCAATCTTCAACAACCATGCTCAGAATCCTATTTGCTAGAGATGGGAGTTTCTGATTTTCTGGACTATAAACCATGATTTTCCATTTGGGGAATTCTACCTACCTTACAGGCACCTTAAAAAGTACTGAGGCTTACTAAGCAAAGCTATCTTGAAGTCTCCCATTTCTGCTCCAGTACCAGCTAGGAGCTTTCTTTCTGAGCAGGACACTTAAGCAGAACTTAACCTAGCTAAGCCTCAAAGCCTTCTAATTTCGGCCTTTTCTCACAGGTATACGACACCCAGGTATTTGCAAGGTTCCTGTAAGGTAGGTAAAACTCTCAGAATGAAGAATTACAGAATTTGCAATTCAGAAAAACCAAAAATCCCATCCCTACTCTTTGCTTATCTAATTGCTCAGATATTTCCTTTCCCTGCCAGGCTCTGGCTCCTATATCTGACATCTCACTAATAAACAGAATCATCTTCTGCCACTGTAAGAGTAGTAATTCAAATGAGATATTAGTCTTCGTCTTTAACTTAAGTAATGAAAATCTTTACAGACTAATGTTAATCTAAACTAAATGAGGATAGGGGGTTCTGAATCTGACACAATCTGGCCTTATGTACTAACCTGCCAAGCTCTGAATCTGACAGAAAGATCTATTAAGAACTAAGCTTAATCTATGGTTTTGTGTTATGCCTGAATTTAACATCTGATTAATAGAATGATATATTACTCTGGACTGATTATGAGGATACCTAACACCTGTTCACTGGGCAAAGGGGTACATCAGGAATGCATTATGTCCACAACATGGACATAATGTTCACAACATGGTTGATTCTCAGACTCTGATACGAAACTGAGGCCTATACACACAGAACATAATCCTGACATTCCAAGCCTGAGGGAAGAGACACACTCAACACATATGGGCACACAATCATCTAAATAATGGGCCAAAGCAACTAATGCTCTCTCATCCATCTCCTCAGATATCTGTGCTGTAAACATTAAAGGCCAAGTCGCTAAATACGAAGATTTCTTTCCAGAGTAAGGCATTATCGCTTTCAGACTTTCCATCTTCCTCCAGAATGTCTTTGCCCAATGCCACTGAAGTGCACTTAGTAACCACAAGCAACTAATAGGCACAATCTTACATTCAGGGAAAAAAATTTCTTACTTTGCTAGTTCAACTCCATTTAAGAGCACAAGGAAAAATATTATATTGAAATCTAAAGTGCAGAGAAACAGCTGGGTTAGAGATTCTGTTATTAAAAGGAACACCTCCATTCAGCAAAGCATTTTGCCACATCATTAGCTTAAGCATGGGTGGCACTGATTAATAACAGCCAGCTACATTCCATCTTGCCTAAGAACAAAAGACAACCCCAAAAAATTGGGAAAGTATTACAAAAGTCTGTAAATCCCTGGAGCTATGTAAGTTGCTTGAAGACATTTCAGACTGCAATAGAAAAAAAAGGCTAGGGAAGATTAATACAGAAAAGGTTAAAGAAGTGAGCATGAAAAGAGCATGAAAGAAGATAAGGTAGCTAGGCATTCAGTGGTTTTCTTTTTTTAAAGATTTGTTTAACTTGAACTATAATGGTACTTACAATTTTGTGTCACCTAGTTGTGTTTCTATGGAAGCCACAGGTTTCTTCTTTTCACTGAAAATAGTAACACATACTGTTTTAAATTAAGAACAACAATGTGCTGTCAAGTCAGTTCCAGCTGGGAAGCCACCCTTCCCAGGTCTTTCTAGGTATACGGTACACAGAAGAAGTTTACCATTCCCTTATTCTGGGGGCACTCTAGGGTTGTGCAGTTTGCCGAAGGCTACAGAGACTGGCCTTTCTTCCAGGCAGCAACACAGTGGAGAATTAAGATTCCCAAACGCTGGTGCCACAGCCACACAACTAATTCACTGAGTTAGTGAGCCAAGGGATCTTTAAAGAATCTTTTGGTTAATAGATGGTTATCTCAGTGATGGTTTCCATTACAAATGAAATGGATGCAAATCAGCACATTTTGTGGAGGACTCAAGTACAGTTCCTACTGAATTTGACTTGAGGCTTTTTTAAGTGTAAAACATGTTCAGGAGTTCTGAGGGAGTGCAAAGCTCTAGTTAGTTGTCACTTGCCCACTTGTTATCAACATGCTCAGAAAGGTACAGCTAGTCCTGTCGCCCATTGTCCCTTGTGTGGAGAAAAAGTGTATGAAGAGGGGAAACTTCTCCTTGCATGCAAACCTGAGAGCACGAATCCTGGAAAATTGCTCCTCTCTAACCGTGCTGACAATAAACAAGTAGGTAATGGACTGAAGAAGTTCAACTAAGTAAGAAAAAAAATCCTGAGAGTTTATATATCTCCAAAACACCACATTTTGGCTACAAATAGCTTTTGAATTTTTTGATGATCCTCCTCAAGTGACACATTTGGACAAATATTTTCCCCACTAGATCTAGGCAGCTAGTTTGGAAAAGTAACTTTTTAGTGACAACTACTAGACTCACTCAGACAGGACTTCTAGAAATCCATAAGCATGTCTTGACACAAGTAACTCTCTAATCTCTTGCTGTTTTTGCTGCAGAATGAAGAATTCATTTAGGAATCCTGCCTCATAGCCATTGATAGCATATCCTCTGTGAAGCCAGTCAATTCTTTTAAAATCTAGTGGCCATCAATGAACATTGTGATAATACCTTTTTGATTCCAATTTCACAAGATCATTTCATACTATTATATCATATCAGGCAAACCCCAAAGGGGAAAAAAACAATTAAAAAAGACAAAAATGTGTTGCACTTTAAAGTCTGTTATATTCTAACGTGAGCATTCATTAACAAGTCTGCTTCTTCAGACATATGGAGAGAAATACAGTAAAATGCAGAGCTCACAAGTAAAACATTAATGCCAGTTTTGAAAGTCAGTAGTGTATGGTTGCATTTCACAGACTAATGTGGCTACTTCTTCTAAAACTACATACTATTAAAGGAATTTTTTTTAAAAAAAACTCTTCAATTTTATGAGCGTCTTTTCTCACTTATCTTTTCCCCTAGACTAAAAAATGCTGCAGAAAATGCTCTTTACATCTTTAACATATTCTCCCTGATATGCACCTGATGATGTTGTGTCCATTCCACAAGATCTTAGGCTAAATAAAACTTGCTAGACTAAGATTACAAATTCCATTGTTTTTGCAGCAACAGACTAACACGGCAACAGTCCTTGACATTTTAACATGGGGATTAATTTTTTCCACACCATCTTCTCAACTCCAAAATATTCTTATCTGGAATGTGAGCCTTACCTGACTTCATTTACAGTTTCCACCTTAGACTGTGCAGAGGAATCTTCTGAATGCCTGAACGATGGTGAAAAAGAGGGGATGGAAACTTGCAAAACACTAGTATGGATCTGTAATGAATTCTGTAAGAAGGAAAGGCATCAACACTCTCCTCAGAAGGCAGCAAAGACTCAATTTATAAGATGGTTGCAGGAGCACAATATATTTGCCATCAAGAACCTCAAGCATTATGGTTTCTTTAAAAACTTGCACTAAAATTAGATAAAAGACACATTGCACCCAGACAAATAACATTCTAATCCATTAGCATCAGACAACTAAGTATTGTTGCCTTTATCTAAACTGTAGCCCTGGAATCCTGTCCTATGTTGTTGCTGTTGTTTTGACTATTATACCGTATTTTTCACTCCATAAGACGAACCTTTCCATAAGACGTACCTCATTTTAAGGGGAGAAAAATAGGAACTTCGCTCCATAAGATGAACCTTTCCATAAGACGCACCCCCCCTGTTTTGTGGGGAAAAAGTGCGTCTTATGGTGCGAAAAATACAGTATATCTGCCCATAGTGCTAGAGCAATCTGTGGGCAGTTTACAAACAGCACTTTGCCCTGTACTGAGCTAGGTTATCATTTTACCAACCTCAGAAGGATGAATGACTGAATTGAGTTCACTCTCTGGAGCCATCAGGATCAAACTCAGGTCAGGAGCTAAGGCTTGACTGCTCTACTGCAGTTTATCCACTATGGCTCAGGGCTCAGTTTGTGTGTTGGCCTCAGGTAGGAACTGCAAAAGCCGTTCCCAATTTTAGCACCATTTTCTTTAAAAAAAACAACACCCTCATAGCTCCCTACTTCTCCTTTACCACCATCCTTGTAACAAACAAACAAAAATCAATTCATAAATTAAAGTTTAACACAAGCATAAAACATGGTTTTAAATCATTTTAAAATAAAGGTAAGCACAAAAGACAGTATGCTACCTCTTCAGGAGTTTTTGTTCTAAATTCTTCATGGTTTGGAGAACTCGTGGCTGGTGAAGAAGATGGACTTTTCTCGGGTTCACTTAGATCCTGTGCATCTGACAAGGCCACAGAAACAGATCCTGAATTTCCAGATTCCTCACATTCATCATCCTTGCCTAAGAATGGAAAAAAGGTGAAAGTGGTGTTTTATTGTCGTGTTTCAGAATACTGTCAACTGAACACAGAACATACTGCTGCTATAGTAAGCTTTTATGTTAAAATGTAATTTAAAAAAATACAGATTACACTTTAGCAACTAAGCAAACTATTGAGTGTGCATCAACATTTAGGAGTTGAATCCAGTTACAAGGAATACCTGATGTACTGATTTGTCCCCTTAAAAATACATACCTACTGTACTTGCTTTAGTAAACAGTGGTTGCATTCCAAAGTCCATAATCCTGTATCTGTACTCAGAACTGTTTCACTGGGTGTTATGGCATTTTCTCCTGAATAACAAGCCAGTCTACATGTTGTAAAATGTACTTCATCTTCTGGAAGTAACCTCGAAAAACTGCTGTTAAATTTGTTTTGCATTTCGATTACTGCCAGTCTCCTTGTTTATATTGTTTTAGCCATTAATGCAGATAAAAAGATTCTTCCTTTCTATGCAAAACACTTTGTCTTTCTATGCAAAACACGTTGTACCGGGTAGAAATACAAGCAACGATGAAACCTAATTTAGGAACACCAGGAAAAGTATTTGCTAAAAGCTTCTAGGGGGAAAAACCCACGCAACTGAGTAAATTCATTCCACACCAAAAGAACTAGGGAGGAAACATGGGTGGCAAAGAGTAGAAGAGAAAAAAATGGGACTAGTAGAGTGGAGAAAACTGTACAGATCAGAAAATCAGGAGGTGAACAACATGCAGCAAGCATTTCAGCCCTGACTGCATCTTGCCCACCCTACAGACTTATTATAACTCTACTAAAGTTGCTTTGGAATTAAACAAAGCATTCTGTAAATTGCAAAATGTGAACCCTGAGTGACTGCCTGCTAAGTAGGGTTTTTTAAAATGGATTGTTGTACCTTACTTTATTGGATGTGTTTTGGTGTTGCTTATGTTTTTGGTATTGTATTCAATGATCCTTTTAGCATTGTATACTTATTGTTACTAACTTAAATACTATCTTTTAATTAATGTAAGTCACCTCGGTTCCTTTTTAAGGAGACAAGTGGGATAAAAATATTTTAAATACTTTATAAATACTTATTTTAAATAATTTCTTTGCAGGAAACCTATGCCTTAGCCATGGAAATCCCTCCCTGCCAATGACAATAACATCCTTCCACAGTTGTGAGTTATGCAACAAGATATAATTGATTTATTTTGTAAAGTACAATGCAAACTTTTAAAACCTCATTGTGGTGGAATGGCCATGTCACTCCTGTCTATCATAGCTGAAGCTCAAGAGCTGGAGCCTATGAGAAGATAGGAGGGGCGGAATCAAGGAGACAGAGACAGAGAGAGAGAGAGAGAGAGAGAGAGAGAGAGAATTGGAAAGTTGGAGAGTAAGAGAGAATGGGAAGAAGATAAATGGAATAGTAAAGCTAAATAGGTAGTCAGAGAATATTAATGAGTTGGTTAATATGAATAAGTAAATACAACACCTGAATAAGCAAACGTGTATAAGAAGTTTAATGAGTCATCCTAAACAATAATAAAAGAACATCTGTGATTTAACAACCAAAAGATAAATAAACAAGTTATATTGGCAGCACATGTATGAAGCATCTATGGTGCAGTGTGGATGAGAGATCCACTGGTGGTAGCGGAAGAAAGAGTAAACCTATCCAGAGAGTGAACCTGTGTTTGGGGGAACTTTTAAAGCCTCATTTAAACCCTTTAGCAAAAGGATTTGTGTGATACCAATATGTCTTGCCATTAGAAATGGGGGTATTCATATACGAATACCCCTGCACAGGTAGCGATAACGAGGGTCCAGCCCCATGGGGCCGGACGGTTCACTCATGATTTTGCCACTGCTGCAACCTCCATGGAGCCTTCCAATGGGAGGGGACAGAATGACAAGCCTCTTTGCCAGGATGAAGAGTGGCTCACAGATCACAATCTCCGGAGCCACTGTAAGGCTCTGCAGAGCTTGTGGCACCGGTAGAATTGTGAGTGTACCATCTGGCTCCATGGGGTTGGACCCTCGCAGAGCTTGTGGCACCGGCAGAATTGTGAGTGGACCATCTGGCTCCATGGGGTTGGACCCTCGTTATTGCCACTTGTGCGGGAGTATTAGTAAAAAAATACAAATACTCCCATCTCTACTTGCCCTCATTCTCTATTTGACCAATCCTCGTTGCAGCAAATATGAATCCAAGCACTGAGCAGTGATTAAGTAGAAATGGAGAGCAAGAATCGACTGCTCAGGAATGGCATAAAGACCTACAGAACATCCTGGTTACAATATGGCCATTCTCAAGATCCAGTGAAATGAGATAGAAGTATGCCCTTGACCATCCCACTGAAACGAAAAGAACCTACAAGTGCTTAACCCCCATTATAGAACATATGCACTGCTTTCAAGTGAAAACGTCAGTATGAAAAGGTGGTCTTTTCTATGCACAATGTGGTCTCCTATTCTGAAATGCAAACAGGGAGCAAATTAATCTCCAATGTAGACCTTTTCCACATTACAAATTCCACTTCAATCACTTGCAATATAAATTACATTGTAAATTGAAGCAAGACTACCCAGAGTAGATGTAGTCTAGATGGACGGGATATAAATCAGATAGATAGATAGATAGATAGATAGATAGATAGATAGATAGATAGATTAGATAGATAGATAGATAGATAGATAGATAGATAGATAGATAGATAGATAGATAGATAGATAGATAGATAGATAGACAGACAGACAGACAGACAGACAGACAGACAGACAGACAGACAGACAAAAGCAAAATGGCATTATGATAACTGATAGTAATTAATAGTCATTAGTATGTTGATTAACACACAATATTTGATAGGAAAATAACAATGTTACATCATTCCTGTACCTTTTTTGACCTGAGCCAATATCACCATATCCTGCACTTTCTTATATCGATTGAGAGACTGCCTCAGCTCTTCAATCTTCTGATCCTGAAAAAAAGGGAGGTGTGCTTTTTAATTACTTACAGCTGATTTTCTAACTCACCTTCCTTTTCTTGGGGGAATTTAATAATCTATCCAAAATATTTGGTGGTAATAAATTACTGACTTCTTAAAGCCTAATATTAAATTGAGATTTAAGAAATGTCAATACTAAAAACAGCACCTTGGGTTACTTGTTTTCATCAACTAAAGGCACATTTGTTGTTCTAGTATATTACATTCTTAAATTTTTACATTTTTGTTTGCGGGGTCCGATACTGGTCCTTCCCACTTAACCTGATCATTTATGCCTCTTCATATTGACCCCTTCTTCCAAAAGGCAAAGCACCACATTATTAAGCAAAGTGGTTCTAAAGAATATTGAATACCTTTTCTTCATTTGCTGCCATCAGAGATTCCACAGCTTTCTTCATTTTCTGCACTTCAATATCTAAATTACAGAAACAACTGTAGAAGTCAGTTGAAATGTCAGTTGAAATATATAAAAAAGAAAAATTAATACTTTCGACATACACTGGAGTTTAGATCCCTTTTGTAAATCAAAACAATCTGAACGTTAATCAACAGAGAACAAATCAAACACAATATTTCTTTTCAAATTCTGTTTTCTGGGTCAAATTTTATGTGACTTTCCTTGCAAATGCCTGATTGAGCTTGTTAGTTCTAACCAATGTTCCCTCTAATTTTCTGCAAGCACAGGGCTGATGCTCCGCCCCACATCCACAGGCTTATGGCTGAGACCATAAGCAAATGGGTGGCACCACTGGTTTGGCTGCACAGCAGAGAAATAATGGTCATAATCACCACACATTGCAGGTCTGTAGTGCACTGGAATGTTTAAAGAACTTCACAAACATTACAACACAGCTCTGAATGATAGGCCAATATCATCATCCTCAAATTGCAAGTGGGAGAATCTTAGGCTCAGACAACTTGCCTAGAGGCCTCCCAGCCATTTCAAGGCTAATGAGAAACCTGAATTAGCTCAATTTCTTAGTCACTATGTATATTACAGACATCATACCTATGCCTTAGCACTGTGGAGTTCAAGACAAGTCACAAAATAAATTTAAAAAATAGAAACTTTTCCAGTGCATCACAATAATTGCCATACTATAGCTCCATAAAGAAGATATCCAGTGCTTGTCTGATATTTATCTCCTGAATTATTATATGTTTACATCAGGAAGCAATAGAATAACTGTTCCTTATGCTAGCAGCCCCAAATAAATTCAGGTACAAAGAGAAATTAGGAAAATGGTAGTAAGAAAAGTTAAAAGAAATGGATGTCATAGTGATGCTTAGCTATAACAAAGAATGGTTGTAGAAATGCAATTATTCATGATGGGATGATGTATACATTTATTGTGATGAAAAGTCATGCTAAAATGTGTAGTTACAACACACATACCAAAAAAGAGGTTTAAACTTGTCATAAGTACAAACTATGCTTCATTCTTTATCCTCATTTACAATGGATATTCATACAAACCAGAGTTATTAGGCATAAAAGGAAAGTTAGAAATGTAGGCTGTTTACAATAGAAAGAGAACAATCCTATTCTACACTGAATTCTAAACTTTTCTAGAGGATTTCCATCACACCAACTTCAATTTATTTAAGATTTGTGTTATTTAAGATTTGTGTAGGAGCCTCGTGGCGCAGTGGTTAAACCGCTGTACTGCAGCCAAAACTGTGCTCACGACTTGGCGTTCAATCCCAGGTAGCAGCTCAAGGCTGACTCAGCCTTCTATCCTTCCGAGGTCGGTAAAATGAGTACCAAGCTTGCTGGGGGGGGGCAATGTGTAGCCTGCATAATTAACTTGTAAACCGCCCAGAGAGTGCTTGAACCACTATGGGGCGGTATATAAGCAGCACGCTTTGCTTTGCTTTTGCTTATATAACACACAGATTTCAGCAAGGAAACTCATACAGGAATCCACTTCAATGTCAAAATTTAAATTCAATTTACTCCAATGCAAAACCAAGCCATCGTCTGTTACTAACATTGTATGACTTTTTCACTCATTTTTGTAACAAATCACAGGTTACAGTTATATTTAAGCAAAATAAATTACTATTCAGAGACAAATTGTGCAAACCCAGTTCAAAACATACTGATTTGTAGCGAACTGTGGTATGACCAAAGCATACACTTTGCCCAAGTTTGGATATAATTGCCTAACAACTGGGAGTGAATGTACACAGGAGCATGGAAGCACAAGATTTGTTCACTACATGAATAAGTCCCATGCATTGTTAATAAACTTTTTATCATACCTTTCTGCCAAAAATAACACTCCAAGCAACTTACAATAATAAAACTCCAATATGACTTGGCACTATGTTTAAGCTAGACGATACAGTTATGGCTACTTAAGCCCAGTGAAAATTGCAGGACTTAAAGATACCTGTAAGTCCTGCAATTTTCACTGGGCTTAAGTAGCCATAACTGGAGTCAAATATTTTCCATGCATTTTTTCTAGTGAGACATATAAACAAATAGCTCTGACATATAAACAAATAGCTCTGACTCTGACAAATTTATCACTAAAGGAAGAGGCTATTCTTGGAAGAATAAAATAGATAACCATACTGAGCTCAATCTTAATAGTTTGATGAAAAGAGGGGGTACACTTACTACATTTTTATAGCACTTCCAGATAAATATATGGAACAAATAATTTGTAATCCAAATCAATTTCGTTAGAAGCAAAAGATGAGGACTTAAAATAGAAGATAACACTTCACTCTTTTTAGTATGATTTCCACTGTAACTGAGGATAGATAAAGCAGTCTAATGGCATTTTGGTTAAGATAATTTTTAAATGATACATGCAGAAAGCTATGTTGGGAAAAGGTGTCAAATGTAAGTGGATATGAAAAGACACCAAAAACCTTACTTTTGTCTTTGAGCTTCTTTTTACAATTTTCATCTGTGCAGGAAAATCCATTGGATTTGAAGTTAGTTGATATGTATCAGCATTATATCAAATTAAATATGAATTAAAAAACTATATGCATGGGATATCAATTTGGGATAAAACAATTATATCATGATTCAGAATAATATTGTCAAATTTGATCAGCACCACTGCCATGGGAGCCATGACCTTCCTATATTCATGGAAGCCATCTTGCTGGAAGAGAACCTTCAGATAGAAAAGTGAAAGTCACTACAGTAGAGGGGCTTAGAGTCAACAGTTGGGTCAACAGTATTATAAGGGAAAACTCCCATTATAAAAACCTTGGCACACGTATTTAGGATTTTTTAAAAAATTCAAGCAAACAGACAGATGCACTGAAAGTTGGTACTGTTTATTCAGCACATGAGCAGAGCTCAAACACACAGGAGACGGGCTATAACTTATGAAAGGGTATTGTCTAGATCCATTAATGTGAGGCCTCTTTTTTTTAATTATCCCTTTGGCTCAACAATGCTACAGGTATAGATTATTATTAATCATTCCCTCTACTTTGAAAACACTTTAGCAATTTTAAATTCAGTTACTGTGCCTATATTACTGTGCTGCTCTTATTAATTTATAAACAAAGACACTGTCTCCTTTGTAGTCCAAAGTTTTGAAAAAACATTGCTTAATCAAGGAAAATCCAGCCAATCATACAGTAAATCAATACAAAGTAAAATCTAACAAGACCACTCAAGTACTTGTTTACTTATCTTGAAACAATTATTTCCTTTTCTTTCTGAATTTAATTTAGATATCACAGATGGAACATATGGTTTACACATCCTTTATTCCTGCTCATGTAACCACAAGGGCAACTGATTTCCTACAGCAATCTCATGCGTTCACAGTCATGTCAACGTACACACACATAACTCAGAGATGTCAGTTCAAGTAATAAAATGCAGACCACGTAGAACACAAAAATATAGTTTAACTTTTGCTTGGTTGTAATAACATAGAGAGCATGTTATCCTGGCAAACAGAAGTGGCTGTATATTATCCTTTTAGTCAAATAAGCAGATTAATAATGCTGTGATCAAAACCTACCCAATGTGAATCTGAAAAGCTTGATCTTATCCAAGTGAGTCAACATCTCCTCAGCCTGTTCTGTCATTACTTTCCAGAGAGTATTGTTAACATGGCTTGAGCCTTGGGATATACATATATTTCTCTCTCTCTCACACCATTAAAAAAAAGCAATGAGTCTGCCAGCTGTACTTTACTATATAATATCCTGGATCCATTTATGAACATGTTGACAGGCCAGAGGTCCTATTTTAAACCAGGTGAGCCAGGGAGACATCATGTGCATATAATGAAAGTGTAACCAAATTAACTTATTACTTTCTCCATCTAGGAGACACACATGTAGAATTAGGATTCATTGTTTGACAGATCTCTTTAGACAACAGTTTGTGATATGAGCCTATGCCTGAAGGCTTATTCATGGCCTTGTGTAGAAAAGACCGAAATCATGAACTACAGACAGACGGAGAATAAGCCATGGCTTTGGGGGACGAAATGACTTCTCCCCATTTATCTTACCTCTGTCGTTTATGTCAACCCCTTCTCCATTCACCTGGTGAACCAGTTTCTCTTGCAACCGTTTTATCTCTGCTTCCTTCTGTTCTAATTTATCTTTTAAAGATGCTAGTTCTTCCTGTGCAAAACAGAACATCAAGGCATCCATTTAGGAGCTAGCTTTGTGTTTTACAGGGACAGTCTTAAAATCTGTCATTTAAGTTAGAGATGACCTCCAAGTTTCAAGTTCATTGCTAAATCTTGTCAAGCCTTTCCAATCTTTCCACCCATGTTCCCTTTTGAGAAAACACTACAAACACAGGAGAAGTCTGCTTCTCAGTCAATTTCATCTCTAATTTAAATGTACAACAATATTTTGATCTGAATTTCTGAAGTGACACTAAAAGGATTTTATTTACATCTGAAACATGCATGAGACACACAGACATTAAGGAGATAATATTTACAGCACAAATCAATGCACATAATACTCAGAAGTAAGATCCATTGTAGTCAATAGGGCTTACTCTCAGTTAACTGTGAAGAAAACTTCACCTTTAATGAGGTAAATATCAAACTACTAAGCATGCTCACAGCATAAAATCTTATGAAACAAAATAATGAAATAATTTATGTGTGTAAATAATGTGGAATAAGTGAAAGGGGAATAAGAGCCATTTATGTGCCACCTACTATGAATGAACATGGAGATTTATACAGAGTATAAATAGTGTGTACTGCTCAGGTCATAAATATGTTTATCAACTATCATAGCTGGCAGTAAAAGAATAAATAATAGTCAAATCAATGTGTAACATCACAAGGCAACCATCCTGTAAGAACACAGATACAAAAGTAAGATAACAGTTCACATCCATGTTTTAATGGCAAAATTTAGGTTATACGAGCATAAGAGCAAACCACAAGCAAACTGAACTTCTACACTCCTATCTTAATGTGGAACATAGGAATGATTCTGTAATTTTACCCCATTTATATACTATGCATCAAGTTACTCCCACAATGATGCAGATCCATAACTACATTTTTATTTCACTCATGGAAAAGGACAGTTTGTTGCAAGACCATTTTATAAAGTCTACAAAGTTAAGTCAGTTCTGGAGATGAGCACCACACAAGGAACATCAAGGGTTTTTACTGCCTCTTATTGAAGCACCCAAGTTCAATCACCTACCAGAGCAAGAGAATGTTTGAAAGGTATTTCAAGGAATTCAAGACTGTTATTGACACAGGGCCTGTATATGTGCAAAGATGTTTCAGTTGTTGGAGCCTAAAGATCTGAATAATGTGCTTGGAATAATGTAGCCAACATATTTTATTTCCTGACTCCTTCCCATCTTAGTTTTTAATGGTAAGCTAAAGAAGACTAGTTTGATGGGTCCAAGACACAGTTATTGCTTCCTTGTGAGAGGAGATAGCTGTCAGACACCTTGACAGAGGCAGCTGTCTGGCCCCTTCTTAAGCCCTCTTGAGATCTGGAAGATTCCAGCTGTCATCTAGGCATCCTTAGCATCCTCTTTTGGGATAAAGTACTTGAAAGGATGCCAGAAAGTCAACTGTTGTCAATTAGGATTGGGTGGGTAATGTAAGGCCACAAGCTGCTGACAGCACTTCCCATCAGCAATAGCCACCACAGTCAAAGGTGAGAGATACGAGGGAGCTACACTATATTTCTCATAGATCTGGGTATCTATTCTTCAAAACTGGGTTTGGTTTAATTACTGTAGTAGCATCAAATTAATATCCATTCAATTAATGTTGAGTCACAGTTGTGCATGCAAATGCAGACTGTAGCCAAAATCAAGTGCACAGCAAATATACCCATCATAAAGACGATGTCTCATCATTTGGACAAACTGATGCATTCTGTCTCCTCTTAAGTGGCATCTGCTTCTAATTATATTCTTAGATTAGTGAGGTACTGGGAAGAACATTTCATGTGTGTCCATCTGTCTCCATCTAAGACTGGAATGAGTGTATATCCTTGAAGCTCCATCTACATTGATATCTTTCATCAGTTATCTACCAATCTATTCCTTGACTTTGAGCTTCTCAGAAGCATTATGGGAACAGCAGTGCGGCAATGAGAGTAAAAACATTTTGGGAACCCTAGCTTCTGTTCAGAAAATTATCATTCCAAATGTTCCCTGGAAATAAGGAAATCATTAAATCCTTATTTTAGGTCTTTAATGTGGATATGCCCATGACTCTTCTATATAACAAATAAACATTACTGAACTTAATCTGTTAGTACATCACTCTGTGCCATGTTCTCACAACAGATCAGCATAACCTAAAATCTCCACAAAAGTTCTTGTTCAAAAAACAAAAGGTACAGTCAAAATACCGAATTCCATGCATACACAGCATCAATTGAAATACTTTAAAAAAGCACAGACAGACAAACAAGATGGGAGACAGCATCACAAATGACTCGACACCAGGCCCCCGCCAATCTACCACACCTTTAACATTTGGCATTTTTGTTCCATCCGCTGTTTTTCATACTGCATCTGGCCCACTTTGATTTTCATGCTAGAAAGTTTGGCCATTAAAGACTGGTAATAGAGACAGAGGAGTGAAAGAGAAGTAAAGACAGAGAAGAAGCAATGCTAAAAACAACTACTTTCAGGATGGGGATTGGTCTTGAGAGAAAGATATTTATGATGAAGTAAGCCAAAGGAGATTTCATGAAACCAGCCTCTAAGTAAGCAAACTTAGCTGTTCCAAGTAAGGGTGAATTCTCAAGTGGATTACACACTGAGAATGAGGCACCTAATGTGGGGAAATCACAGACTTGTGTACTTTTCCAACATAGTCACCCCATTACATGCATTTCTCAATTGAAGTGACAACAAGGTAACACGAGAATTACAAAGTAAGCTGCTGCATTTTCTTCAGCTAAGGAAAGATAATCTAGATCCTTATAGATCTAAGGAAAGATAATCTAGAACCCTTTCCTTATATTTAAGAAAACAAAAAGAGTAACTTGCACTTAATTACATTTGATCTTCTTTAATCTTAAGAAAACTCTAGAAGCTAAATTCAGTCAGATAAATAGGTATTGCTATGGCAATTGAGTAACCAGATCTCTCTAGTTCTTCCTTGCTACCCTCTTTTATTGACAAGTTTCAAAGAGCTGTCACAATCATATTCACTGTGATTGTGCCACTACTTATCTGGATGTACCACTACATATATACACATTAATCACCATGCACAATTCTATGGAAAATATTTGCAGGCTCCACTTGAAGATGTAGCTGTGTACATAATGACAGGGAGACAATCTGATTCCTACTGTAATGTAAATTTGTCTAACTGACACTTCCAGAATCAATATGCAAACCCCGAAACAATTATACTTTGATATTTCCATTCCCCTAAATTTTGTGATGGTGCCCAGTGTGTTGTAGTGGACTAGGATTCAGGACACCTGGGGTCAATTACCTGGCTTTGCCATGGAAACTCACTGAGAGAGTGGAAGTGGTTAAACCACTCCTAAAATACCTCATGTATCTTGAAAACACTATTAGGGTATAAAAATACCTACATAAGGAAAAAGATATATGGTGTTTCATAAGAGCTATAATGGTGACATTTTTAAAAAAACTTACAGATCCATGAAGAGATACAGCAAAATGAAATTAAATAAATAAAGATAAGAAACAGAAAGAAACAAAAATTAACATATTATACAGAATTAAACCCTGGCTGGGTATCTCAGTGGTTTAAATATCTGATTGTGGACCCAAAAGTTGGGAATTCAATTCCCCAATGTGCCTCTTCACAGAAGAGCCAGCCTGAGTGGTCATGAAAAGCTGCAGAGGCTCAGGGTACCCCCAGAAGAAGGGAAAAGTAAACCATTTGTTTATTCTCTACCTAGAAAATCATGGAAAGAGTCACCATATGCAAGAATTGATTTGATGGCACATCATCATCATCATTTCAGAATTAACCAAATCCATGTGAACACTATCAAAGTATAATTGATTGATTTAGTAAGGAAAATAATAACATAAAAACCTACAGGCAAAGAGGCAGGTAAAGCAGCTTCCTCTATGTTAACAACAAGAGGAGAACTCTTACAAGTCTGAGTCTGAAAACTTTGAACTGCAGTAAAACATTTTTTTTGGCTTCACTTGCGCCCTTTCCTTTTGTTCCTGACCATTACTTACTTTGGTTGATTTAAGCTTTTTTTCATACTGAACTCTCTCACTGTCCATTTCTCCCACTTTTAAACGTAATTCATTTATTTCCCGCATCAAACCCTGTTAGAAAAGGTTAAAAAAACAGGAAACAAACAAATAAAAAAATATTAGGAGATAAGCAAAGCAATTGAAAACCGTTCATACTGCTCTTAGGGTGCTTCTGAAAAATGATTAATGAGTCAAAAATATTCAAGCAAGCCTGCTTTGCTGAATATTTAAAACCTCCAATTATTAGCACCTCATCTTAGTCCTAAGAGGGATGTGGTGGTGCTGTGGGTTAAACCGTAAAAGCCTCTGTGCTGCAAGGTCAGAAGACCAGCAGTGGTAAGATCGAATCCATGCGACGGAGTGAGCTCCCGTTGCTTGTCCCAGCTCCTGCCAACCTAGCAGTTCGAAAGCATGTAAAAATGCGAGTAGATAAATAGGTACCACCTCGGTGGGTAGGTAATGGTATTCCATGTCTAGTCGTGCTGCCAAATGACCACAGAAACTGTCTCCAGACAAACGCTGGCTCTACCCATGCTTCATGCTCTGGAGTGGACACTCCTCGACAGGCTTCATGCTCTGGATGGACACTCCTCGATTCAGAGCATGTTACCATCGTCTCTCGAGACTGAAGGATGCCTATGATGGCTTGGAGACGGGGATGAGCACCGCACCCTAGAGTTGGACATGACTGGACTAAATGTCAAGGGGAACTTTTATCTTTGCCATCTTATTCCTAATCCTGATTTCCCAACCGCAGTATGTTTCTACACACACTTCAAGTACAACATTGTTATTTTCATGTGAAAATATTTTAAAACATATCTACCAGTGCTAGGGTGGGAACTCATAAAATGCAAGCCCCTTTGTACTAAATACAGATGAAATTTACTGCAAGAGATGAAAGAATTGTTTCATTTTAGAAAGGAGATCAGATAAATTCATGGAAGAACAAATCTATCAGCAGCTACTGGTCATGGCGGCTACATGGAACTACATGAAGAAGCTGAGGCAGAAGGATCTTTGTATATGAGATATCTTGGGGAACAGAAGAAGTCAGAGAGGGCTGCTACATGCCCTTCTTTTAGAATGTCTGCTTGATGATTGTGGGTACCCGCTGTGCTGGCCTGGAGAAATCTCTAGTTCAGTAGTTCCCAACCGTAGGTAACCCAGGTGTTCTTGAACTGCAGCCCTCAGAAATGATAACCTGCATAGCTGGTGATGAAGGCTTCTGGGAACTGCAGTCCAAGAACACCTGGGTTTCCTAAAGTTGGGAACCATTGCTCTATTCTATCCACCAGCATTCAATTGTGGATCCTTGGAGCAGGGCTGTCAAAGATAACCTGGAATTTATGTGGATGATGAGGTTAAGTGTGGCCTAGGGAAGCTGCATCATCCCAGAGCATCCTCCTAAGGAGGGACTGGTAAATCACTTCTGAGTAATTTATACACAGAAAATCCTGGGAAGATAATCTGAAGTTGGAATCAACTTGACAGCACATTACTAGTATTACTTATTTACTGTCTAGTGCAGTTTTCGGACTCTGCTCATCTTGCCTTTGATTCCAGCACCACAAATCCAAATAACAATGGGCTCAAGTGACAGGAAGTCAGATTTCAGTTAGATATCAAGAAAAACTTCCTGCTGTTAGAGCAGTTTGACAATGGAACCAATTACCTCAAGAGGTGATGAGCACTGCAGCACTGGATGCATTCAAGAGGAAATTTGACAACTGTCAGCTATACTTTGATTCAGATTCCTACATTGAGTAGGGAGTTGGATTCAATGGCCCTATAGACCTATTCTAAATTCATTATTCTGCAATTCTATAAATTGAAGCTTCAGGAGAACTATAGGCCTATTCTAAATTCATTATTCTACAATTCTATAAATTGAAGCTTCAGGAGAACTCTGCCACTAACTCTGAGGCACTGGTACTGGGCCAAAAATAATTTTCAGTGGAATTACATCTCTCTCTCTCTCATAACTGCAAAATATAAACACACTGATACTGGGCCAAAAAGAATGTCCATTTTCAGTGGAATCACCTCTCTCTCTCATAACTGCAAAATATAAACTAGGAAGCAGGGTATTTGTCATGAGCCTTGCAGATCACAATGCAAAGCTGATAGACTGCAGTTGCTTTCAAGCTGCCAATCAGCTGTACAGTTCTGCTCTGCTTATTATAACATAGAGCAAGTGCTCAAAACCTTTGGCCCTCTAGATTGTTTGGATTACAGTTCCAATTATCCTTTTACAATTGGACATTCTGTGACATCTGGGAAATGAAGTCCTAAGTATCTAAAGAGCTAAAGGTTTCCCACTCTATGCCTCAGATAAATCTGAATGAATGAATTTACTTACAGAAGTCCGGTGAAGTGATTTTTCAGATAGGAAAATATCACCCTCCAAATATATTTTAAGAAACACAATAAATGTTAATAACACATCACGGCTAGACTACTTTAAACTTACCTCTGTGTCTCTGAACCTGTCTTCATAGTCCAACCTGTCCTTTTCTACTGCAGTTAGCTTGAGCTTCAAGTTGGAAACTTCTGCCATAAGGTCCAACTTTTGAGTTTCAAGGGATGTCCTGCTTAATAGCTCCTGATTTAAAAAATAACAATAAGCAAAGAATTACTGATACAAAGAAAGAATCACTGTGAGTTTATTAGCCAATGTAGGTCCATAGCTACACACACATACAAGAAATCTATACTAGGGTCAATTGAAAAAAAATGCTTCCTTAAAGTTTAAGTTTGGTCAATGGACTACATTGCTAACACTGGAAATCAGTCATTCTTCAGTTTCCTGTACAATGTCCAAATATAATATGCTCTGTTTTACAGAACAGGATTAATGTGTTATCATAATCTACATTGCACCCATCAAGATATGCATGATTTTAAAAAATAGCACGTTATGCAATTAGATTTGTTTTAAATGGCAAGTTGTTTGTGCACAGAGACATACAGAATGCACAGCAGTTTATGTACAGTATCTGTCTGTCAGTTTGTCTGTGTGTCCGCCCGCCCATCTGTACCTGCTGTAGCATTTCTTCTGTGGCATTCAGCTTCTCCCTGTGTTCTTCTAGACAGAGCTCCAAATCCCTGATCTTTTCTCCTTGAGCATCCACCTGGTCAGTGAGAACACTCACCTGTAGAAAAGTTGGATGAATCAGAGCACCAAGCCTCTCACTTTTAGGGAATGAAGTTTCATCTGGAGTTATTATACAATATAGATTATGTTTACTCGCGTTTTCAGCCACCAACAAATCTTATCAGAGAAAAAATCTATCACTACCACTAGCAAAACGTATTCACTACCATGGCTCAGGATTTTCAGTGTATAATAGATTATTCACAGATGTTCCTTACCATGCATAAATTGTCCCTTAGAGGAGGAAAAATCTGTCACACCAAGACTGTAATTAAAAATAACATTTTCCTCCATGTACAACACATATGAAGAACCCCAATGGACGATCACAAAGGGTCATTTAAGCAAGGAATGGGGTTTCTAGGATCCTGAAAGCCATGCTCCTGAGGTCACCAAAGTGCTGGATGGTGTTTTCACACCTCTTGCTTGGGCTGGCAGCCAGATTTTGATCTCCTGTTTTCCTTATCCATTCAGGAGATCCAGGGTATGAATGGCTCTCCATCACCCCTTGGGAGCCCATTAAGTGCTAGTTGACAGTCCTTCATTTCACTTCCATGCCTGGAAAGGAGGATGGGATAGCAAATGCAATCATCCATTGGGAATGGGCCATCCCTCTTATTTCTGTGCACCATGAAAAAGATGAGCAGAAGAGATGCCTGGGAACATGACTTTGGAAAGTGGGCTGAGACTAGTACTCTACTTGCTATTTCAGGGAACAGGAAATACATGGGTCTCACATGTTTTTGGGTTATGACTCCCACCAGCTATCACCACTGATTAAGCCCAGTAGGGCTGATGGTAAATACATCATTCACATAATCTGATGTGAGTTTTCCTAGCAAACATAACAAATGATGAGATCAATCACAATTCAACAACATCTGGAGGGCTATGCATTCACCATCAGAAATGCTTGGATAGCCACATTTCCAAAACCTCTATTCTCCTCTGAGAAATGCCTTTCTCAAAGAAAATTTCCTTTCCACTTAACATTCTTAAAATTATTTTAAGGAGTGTGTGAATATGACTTGTGAGTAAGTTCACCTGCCAAAGCAGCTATGTAACTTCAGATCAACATCCAAGGTCTCCAGAATTCACAGAAGCACAAAATGAACTTGGAAGAAAGCTTACTTGCAGAACAAGAGATTCCTTGTCATTTTCCAAACGTGCAAGCCGCTCTTGATACACATCTCCATTAGCAGATATATGCCCATTGGTCTGGAAAATACAAAATGAATTGGTGTGCTATTACACAATTCCATCAGTGTGACTCAAATGATAAAGCTAAATAAAAATCTAGATGAGTGCCAAATAAATTTCCTGATGCATCTCCAAGGCTAATAAAAAAATACACAAATCATTTCATCAACTATGGCAGAAATATTCAAACTGACAACACAGAACCTAAAGGCTCACAAATCTCAACAGCAACAATTAAGAGCAGGGGTCTCAAACTCAATTTACCTGGGGGCCGCTGGAGGCAAAGTCTGGGTGAGGCTGGGCCGCATCAGATTTTTTTAAAAAAACTCACAAAATCGCCTTGCCAAAGGAGAAAAGCCCCCATCGGTACCTGCAAAATTAAACAGAACGGGGCGCCCCCCCCACAGGTGCGCACATGCACACAAACACACACACATAAAGAGGTCCGGGAACCTTCCTCTGAGCCCCCCCTTCAAAAAAAGGCGCACTCAGCAGCAGCTACCCCCACCACGACAGGAGAGCAAACTTTGCAAGGCGAGCCCAGGCAGCCTCCAGGGCCAAGGCGGCTGAAGCAGGACGAAGAGGAGGAGGAGGAAGCACCGCTGGGTGCTGAGGTGGCCGCTGGCTGGGCTGGTGCTGGGGGTGCCGAGAGAGAAAGAGAGCCAGAGAACCGGTTCCCTGGAAGAGGCGGTGGCAGGTGCTATTGGAGGCGCTCTTTGAGGATGGAACGGGAGCAAGCTCCCCTCTCAGGCATTGCTCGGTGGCAGCTTGTGCACTCAAGACAGTGCCTCTTGCACCCTCCATCTGGAATTGCAGCCTGCCAGCCAGCACGCCTGTTTGCCGGCTGGCAGGTTGCAGTTCCGGATGTAGGGTGCAAGATGTGCTGTCTTGGTTACAGTTCTGGATGTAGGGTGCAAGAGATGCTGTCTTGGGAGAGAGCCGGTGAGTGAGGCTAGGCTTTTTTGACTCTTGACAGCAAATGGCCCCCAGGCCGCATGTTTGAGACCCCTGATTAAGAGGAAATCTAATATTGTGCATTAGTTTCATCACTGCCTTTAACCCAGAGTTCCTTTTGAGAAACAAAAATGTCATGCACCCTTTCAATTTTGTCTTGCCCAATTGTTTTATTTGACATCTGGACTACTGTTATTTTAAAATATATATACCTTTGCGCCAATCTCTATATATACCTCCCTGGGAAGCAATGGTTAAATGGCTGAGAATCAATAATTTACTGCATCTAAAAGACAAACTAACTGAATCTCATGCTAGATGATAGGATTGAAAAACAAAAAAAATCCCTATCTGATTATGCTACATGCTTATTCTTCACTACAACTCTAGAAATAACTTCTCTTGAACCAGGGTAAGATGCGGAACTATTGGGAGCAGTGGTCTGATTTTTCATTACAGTATTTTCTTATATGATTTGTACATATATACTTATATGTATCAACATCACAAACAGGGAGAAAAACACTTGGAATTAACAGAACACCAATCACCCCCAGTGCTTGCCTCATTATTTATAACTCAGTTTTGGATCAAGTCTCGGGGTCTCTAGCTGTTGCTAGTTTAAGAACAATAAATTTATGAGCGACAATACCACACTGCTTGTCCCAGTTGCTGAATATACTGAAGATATAGATACTGTATCTGTACTCACCAAATCCTATGTGAAATCTGAGTAACTCATAAAAGTAAACAGAAAAATAACTTTTTTTCAAAACAAAGCTGCCCAGCTCCCTCAGCCAGTATGACCATTGGCTATCAGGTTAGGAGGATTCTGGCAGCTGTGACATCTCAGAAAGTAACTTTCCCCATTTTTGTGTGAAGTGCATATTCCAAAACAATGTATGCTGTTCTACAACTACCCAAGTTTACAATTCAAGTTATCAATTCAAAGTACAGCACCAAAGATTTCTTTAAAAATACACCACAAATTTGTCTGAAGGCTGCAGGGCACTATGTTTTGTATCTTTATCAACAGGAACCAAAAATAAATAGCACTGAGATTGAAGAGCAAGAGCAAGCACTGTTCCTGTTGCATCTGTTTTAACTTGAATGAGGAGAACATAAGATCAGTTATCACTAGATATGTCTGAAGTACCATCTGGTATTTTGAATACATTAAAAGACAAAAGCTGTAAGAGCATTTCCTTACACCCAGGCCACCGAACAAGTAGCATGGTAGGGTGCTGCTATAAATCCAAAGAGCAACCTTTCAGGAGGACGTTTGTCTGTCTTTTATCAAGTTACATCAGAGAGCAACAGCTGTTTTCACACAACACAGTAACCTGATCCAGAGATTATGGCTGGAACAGTGTAAAAGCTGAATGGGTGCCAGAGATATGGTGATGCATGTATGCCCCTCCTTCATATTCCCACCTTACCAGAAGCCAATCATAGCTCTGCATGATTAGTATAAAGGTCTGAAGTGAAGAGATCTTCACCACCCATTCAGCCTTTGCACAGTTTCAGGCACAATAATGCCTTGATAGAGCTTGAACCTAGAATGGGGTAGTATGTGAAGAGAGGCAATATTTTTCAGTAGAAGAATGACTCTACGCCATACTGACGAATGGTGAAGCATGCTTGTGTATCCTATTCATTCTGTATTACACCTCATGTCTACTAAATCCTGGAACCGAATAACCTCACCTCTCTTACCCCTGTTATGCACTGTCAAGTTGCTTCCAATTTATGGCAATCTTCAAAAGGTCCTATCTTTAACAGCCCTGCTTGGGTTGCAAACTGCAGGCTATATTCTTCCTTTATTGAGCCAATCCAGCTCGTGTTAGGGGCTTCCAGTTTTCCTACTATCTTCAACTTTTTCCAGCATTACTGTTTTGTCTGGTGACTCTTTTCTTCTTGTGATATGCCCAACGTACAATAGCCTTGTTTTAGTCATTTTATCTTCTAGTAAGAATTTAGGCTTGATTTGACCTAGAACACACTTGTTTTTGTGACTGTCCATGCTATCTACAAACCTCTTATACTTCTGTTACTTTCAATACAATTTCAGAAATTGAGAATTGCTTTGAATTGGTCAAGCGAAAGTCTGTCAAAAATAAGAGATGAATCAGAAGCCCCCTTGCCAAAAGTAATCTCTGAGACAGCCCACCAGGAGCTGAAGGGCCATCACAGGTGCCCAGAAATGTAAAATTAGAGAGGGGAAGACTTTCATGATTAGCTTTTTAGAGGATAGAAAACTCTGGACTGGGAAGGAAAGGATGGGGAAGACCCACCAGAGGGGTGAAACTCCATTTGCAATTATTACAATCGAAGCCATAAATTCTAGTTGAAATATAACCATTTGCAGCTGAATAATACATTTTTGTCACTTGAAAATGACAGAAAGAATGGAATTTTATTCCCCATGAAGTGCCCTTTCCTGCACACATACAATGAACTGTATACCTCAGCAGAGATAAGGTTATTCTGCAGTCTCAGAAGTGGTGCAACATAAAAAAGCAGAACTGGGGAGACTTGAAACAATAAATACTGTACACAATTTAGCAGCAGGAGGTTGAGGAGGATTTTGGAAATGAGACACTGGGCTCTCATGACCCCAATTTACTTCCTGCACATTCAGCACTTCCAAAAATGACTGCAAGATCAAGCATCAGGGCTGAGCGCTGAAACAAAGGCAAGTGACTCCGGAAGCCAAGCCAATTGCTATGAACACAAAAAGGCTGCCTGACAGGATGGCCAAGCAGAACATTATTAGGACAATTATTGTCACAGTGTGTCGCGCTTTTGCTTTGCACCTCAGTGCCAGACATCGCTGGCATTTTATCACTTCTTAACACACTTAAATTCATGCTGGATTGGATTAAATGCAAAATTAATCCCAAACAGAGCTGACTTCCAGCTACGAAAAGATTACCTAACCTGCTAAACTCATAAAGTTTTTATCAGCAAATTGTTGATTAAGTCCTGTCGCCTTCAGAGGAAAAACAGCAGCTAGAGAAAAAAAATTAACCAACTCTTTTCTTTTCAGATAGCCTTTCAAATTCAGTGGGGGGGGGGCGCAACTGTGTTAGCCAGTTCCAGCAAAAACCCAACAGAGAATCCTGCAACCTCTTAAAGTCCCCTATTTGTATGTTTGTTCATTTTTTATTATAAACTTTCATGCCGAATGCATTCGATGAAGGGACTTTATACACAAGCCCTCTGTGCAGCGATTAAACTAAAGTACTGCAGTCAAATCTCGTTTGTTCATTTTTTTATTATAAACTTTCATACCAAATACTTTATACACAAGCCCTCTGTGCAGTGATTAAACTAAAGTACTGCAGTCAAATCTCTGCTCACAACCTGATTTCGATCAAGACCGGGTCAGGTAAGCAGCTCAAGGCTGACTCAGCCTGCCATCCTTCCAAAACTGGTAAAATAAGTACACAGCATGTATGAGTGTGAGTGTATGTCTGCCAAACTGTTGTTTACAAACTTATGATGTTCTTGCATTATGGAGCAGTGTATACGTCCAAACAACAACAGTAACAACTGTGGTCCAGGAAAGCTTACGCCAAAGACATAAGGACAGAAGAAGAGGTCTGCAAATACAGTGATGTGATGCTGTTATGCTCCACCTGGAGTACTCCTACTATACTGGGAGAAGAAAAGCACAAAAACGTGTACCTTATTTTTGAAAATGCAGAATCCTCCTGTAAACTCAAAGTTTTCTTTATCGTCCTGACAGGAATGGCAGAGAATGGTGTTTCAGTGAGGCAGACAAAAGTAATGGTTCCAAAGGTGCTTCAGAACAAGATGGCAAAGTCCTAGCAAGTTTGTGAACCCAGGGGTATAAACATTATTTGCCTGAGTTTCCTTTAACTAAGATTAATCCAAAGATGTATCACATGAATTCTTTAAAGTCCTTTTATTCCCTAGTATGTCATGTACTCCAGATTTCAGTCCAAGACTCTAATGACATGGATTGGCTAAGACATGCTTAGTACAGCAAATCCACTGGTGGAGGCCTATAGGATGTAAAACCTCCACAAATACCTGAG